TTGCTTTAGAAAAAAAAAACTTTTGGCTTAAATCACAGAACAGCATTAAACCGTGTAAACTTGATATCTCGACTAAAATTCAATAAAAAAAGAATTATTTGGGGATTTTACCGATGCAGTAGTCCTCTGGTTATACACAGAATATGAGCTCAAAATCTTGTAATCATATGACGGATCTGAGTTAGATGTTCCTCGAAAGTAAATTGAACCTTCAACATATTAGGCATTGATAGGACCTTTTGTTCAGTCAAAACTATTTTCTTTTCACTGCTGAACTAATCCATTTAAAATGTGTGACATATTTTTTTCTAAAACATGACAAATTTTATATGCATTCATCCCTGAGTATTTTACTAAAAAATATTTATTTACAAAAATGGTACTTGAAAATGGTATGAGTGTGGGTGAGTGTGCGAAAGCGGTTGTAAGTAGAATAAAGACATTCGCAATGATACTTCGAGACATCCCCTCGTAGCAAAAAATAAGTATAGACCATGCTCAATTATCACTAATATGCGTGGGGAAAATATTCCAGTTTTCTTGATATTGGAGAATATAGTGGAAGATGGTTCGAATACGAAAAGTAAAAAAAGTCATGTCAAAAAAATATTTCGTAGTTTTTAAGACTTCAGGATTTTGAAAGTTTTTTTTTTGGATTTCATGAACTTTAAAGGAACTTTTTAGATCAAAGTCTGCGGCTACTCCTTGACTAAATCTGGTTCTTATTCGACTTCTGAAGCCTTCGTGCTTTACATAGCTGATGTTTTTTGAGAATTAAATGTACGCAGAGCAGGAAAATCCGGAAAGATTTTTTGAGCGTTATTTTAATCGTTTAGAGGTCAAGTTTTCATTGAAAGTATCAATAACGTTATTTTAAATTTCTACAAAATTTATTTCAATGAATAATAATTAAATAAATAACACAACATAATTAATTCAACAAAGAGCCACCCGTAAACTATGCATTTAAATATTAAATAACACGTTATTTTTTCATAAAATATTTTTCATTACTATGAATAAGTTTTAACAGTTCTGATTTTGATAAAAGAAAAGTCATAAATCTGTGTACAAAGTAAAGATGAATATAAATGAATTTTCAATTCAGTTACAATAATTTCAATTGGCATTAGATCTCTTTGACCATCATATACATGTTTTATTTCGACAAAACACTTTCGACATATGCATTACTACATGGAATTGAAAACAAAAAAAGAAATAAATATGTGTGAATTAGATGAAAGTACCTAAGCAGACAATAAAAAACATACGATGGGTGCGATGAGCGTCCGAAAATATGAAATATATATTTATTTGTTCGTTCTGTTGTAATTTCGAGTCCCTCGACAGTCATCAGATCGCGAACACTCGAAAATTGTCCTATCGGAGACCTATGCTCGACTTTTTGAGGAATTTTCGATCCGTCGATACGTATCGAAGTTTCGAGTAATCGAGCAAAACAAAGATATCAAGAGAACCGTATTGAGCGCTCCAGTAGAAATAAGCCAAGCATAAAATCAGTTTCAAGTAGGTAAGTTAATTTTGACGTTGTGAAATTTCTTTAAGAAGAGATTTGCAAATGTCTCCTTCATTGAACTATCTTAGAAGAGTGATCTGTATTGCACGAATTTTGTTCTTAATTTCATAAATTTCTAGAAAGTAATTAATACAAAATGATGGAAAACCACAAGTAAGCACAAAATCTAAAGTGATGATAAAGAAAAAAAACACATATTAACGAATATTGTTATGAGTTTTTGAAAAAAATTTAAAATATTGAATTGATACCTCATCCCAAAACTTAATTATTTATCAATAAAATTCCTTATAAGGCATCTGAAACTCGTGAAAAAGCTAATTCGTTTATTAGGTAGGTGAAGAGTGTTCTTTTTTCGGTTCAATTGTTTTTTATTAACTTTTGATAACTGTTAACAAATGTTAAAATTCAAAGTAATATTAGGGGTAATGAATTTACATTTAGGAAAACTTGTCAGACCCAAAAAATAATCTAGGAAATTGAAATCCAACTTAAATTCATTAAGATAGAGTATTTAAATTTAAAAAAAAGATTAATTTTCGTAAATTTAAATTTAAAATAAATTTATAGGAAAATAATATCTCTAAGTACTAAAGGTCCAAACAGATCTATTTTTTTTAGGCCTGGCCTGTTGATGGCAGACTGTCAATTCTGTCAACCTACCTGTGCCTGTGATGCGCTTACCTCGGTCTGGTCTGCCTGTCTGCCACGGCCTGTGTATTTTTATATGCTATTGTTTAGATGATATTTCAATGGAAATAGCACCTTGTCTTGACAACAAACAACGATAAATGCTCTTTTTCCATGTTACACCGTTCAAGGTACTCCACTATGATTTTCGAAGCATTTTTGCAGTTCAAAAATAATTGTTTTATTGAAAATTATGAAAAATGTGACTGGTACGCAGAACGACCTGTTTGGACCTGGTTTCTTGACCAAAAAAAAAATCGATTTCAAAATTTTCAAAATGTAGCTTTAGATTCGGATTCCCCGACCTCGATTTGCTTTCGTCAACCTTTATAAAATATCAGTACTTTCTCTCACATACCTTTCCTAGACTGAGAAAGTTAAACTTAACATTTTGAAAAACGGACGTCAGATTCAGTTTCCTCGCTCTCTATAACCTATAGGAAAGTTCCATGAAAACGTGGAGAAGCCTAAAAATAAGCTAACCTCTGATGTTTTCTTGACCTGCCATTAACACACACACACACATACAGACAAATTCATTTTATCTCATATGACCTTCCCTTCAGTCGAAGGAAAAACGAGTGAGTTCAATGGACTAAAAATCTTTAATATATTATTTTATTGATTGATTTATCTATTCTTTAAAATACTACATATTAGAACCAATCGTTGAGATATAAAAGTTGAGAATAGCTATTTATTGAAATCGTGAATGCTTAGGTCAGGCGTTGTTGTTTCTCGTCGATGTGTCACAATTGCGACGTTTTTCACTAGTTTGTACCGATGAGTCTTCATTCTTTCGTTTGCGTTCCTTTGTATTACCGTCGTCATCTAGAGCAAAGAAAATGTACGAAGTTATACTAATTTAGTCAAAATTACTCACTTTGCACCGTACGATCAGAAATGCATAACTTCAATAGGATGTCGTTGACATACAGCAAACAAAGTAAATGAAAATTTTTTAAATTGATGTTTAAATCGTTAGCAGTTTGTGTAGCATTTGAGATCATAGGATCGCTTTTCGAAATAGGCAGATTCGTTTCAGCATCGTACAATGGTACTAGCGGTTTGTCTTTAGCTTCAATTAAGTCTCCGTCATTGATAACGCACACATTTAAACTGCAAGAAGAAAAACTGTTGGTTCATTCCATACGCGATTAAAATGTCAAATACCATGTAAGTTCTGTAGCTAATCATTAAGAAAGTGTGTTTTTCTATGTCTGACAGCAAATTTCTTCAGTCTTACTTTGCTTAATCCTCCGACATGCAATAAGAAAGTAGCTCACGTATTATCAAGTGAACCAGAATACATTCGACTGTTATTATTTTTGATATTTCTCGTCTTTCTTGAACTCGATATAGCTAAGTTTTTTAGAAAAAGATTTCCCGTCCAATTCTTTACAAAAAAGAAATCTATTCAGTGCTTTACCACAAAATCCATAGACGCAAAATACCAAAGGAAATCGTGGTAAGTACCAAAATGCGAAAAAACTGTGTATAAGCTGAAGACCATTTTTTGAGCATTATCTGCTCAAAGTCTGTGAGTAGGGCTGTTATTTTATTGTTATTTATTATAAATGGTAAATATAAAGACTGTATTTATATTTATTTCATAAACTAAACATAAAGTAAAGCCCCCCATGTGATAAAAATGGTCCAGTTTTTGCGGCATGTGCCCTTGTATGAGAAAGAAAAGTAAATGTAGCCATCGTGTAGTCCTTGAAAAATTCTATTTCTCACTTATAATTCTCAATTTTCAATTAAAGATTGAGTTTATAAGAACTTTATTACTTGCGCCAATGGAAGAAAAAGACAGTTTTTTTCATCAATAATTTAAGCCTCTCAATAGAATAAATAATGTATAGTCAAAGTTAGTTCATTTAGATTGATTTTTTTAAAATTTATATTGAAAACCAATGCTTCGCCCTACGGTCGAATCTCCACGGTTTGAAAAAAAAGCGTTATTTTCTTCAGCCGTACAAAAAACAGACACACATTGTTACTTTGTTTCGCTTGATTGATGTGAAGTAAGTCTTTGTATCGGATATTTATATTTAAATAACTTTTACTCTGCACGAAGAGATAGAGAACATTGGAATTAATATGAAATAAACTGTAGCCGTGTTCTGATGCTTGTGAAACCATTCAAAAAAAATAAATGGTTCCATTCGAAAAAGTATTTGAAAAATAGATTTTTTTTTGTGTATTTTGATATTTCTCACAATTTCCTATGACATTTTGTATTTCAGGATTTTATCGTACAATGGTCAATACAACTTTTGTAGAGAATTGAGCGGAGAATCTTTTGGTAAAAAACTAAGCACTATCGAGCTCAAGGAATACAAGAAGTTTTAGAAATACTAACTTTCTAATATATTCTGGCCCACCCAATATAACGAGATGTTATCGATATATGATCTCTCATCGGATATCAAAGACGTTTATCACGTTCTGTGACTATTGCTGATTAGTATTACTGACAATCTGTATAGAAGTCTGGTTAGCAAATGTAAGAGAAAGAAGTTAAATTTATTGCCAGTTACTTTACCAGATGACCAATAACGGGTCTGTTACTGGTTACTTAGTGACTTAACAGTAACTTACCACTCCTAAGCAATTGTCATGTTCCGTGACTCATGTTTATCAGGATATGTGAAAGGAGAACAAGGGAGAAGTAAATTTTTGTTACAATATTTAATAAAAAATTCAAGAAAAATGACTTTGAGTAAGTCTTAATATGTTTTTAGGGGCTAATTAAAAAAAATTCATCTTACATATGAACTCCATTTGATAAATCNGTTGTTGTTGTGGTTGTTGTGGTAGTTGTTGTTGTTGTGGGTTTTGTTGTAGTTGTGGTTGTGGTTGTCGTTGTTTTTGTTGTTGTTGTGGTGGTCGTGGTTTTTTGTGGTTGTAGTGGTTTTTGTTGTTTCTGTGGTGGTCGTGGTTGTTTCTGTAGTAGTTGTTGTTGTTTCAGTCGTGGTGTTAATGGCCCATTAGTAATATTAGATAATGTTAAATTTCCTAAATTTGCTGAAATTGTTAATTTAACATTACCTGATGGTTGTATACGTAGTGGACAAATTCTTGAAGTATCAGGATCAAAAGCTGTCGTACAAGTATTTGAAGGAACAGCAGGCATTGATGCAAAATACACAACAGTAGAATTTACTGGTGATATTTTACGTACACCAGTTTCAGAAGATATGCTTGGTAGAATATTTAATGGTTCAGGAAAACCTATTGATCGTGGTCCATCAGTTTTAGCTGAAGATTATTTAGATATTAATGGTATGCATTTGTATTTTATTATTAAAATTAATAATTGAATAAAAAAAATTTAAATAGGCGAACCAATTAATCCATTTTCACGTGAATATCCTGAAGAAATGATTCAAACAGGTATATCAGCTATTGATGTTATGAATAGCATTGCTCGTGGTCAAAAGATTCCAATATTTTCAGCCGCTGGTTTACCACACAATGATGTAAAGTGTTATGTTCTTTTTCCATGTACAAAAAAAAATATATATATATCTTTTAATGAATTAGATTGCTGCACAAATATGTCGTCAAGCTGGTCTTGTTAAACATGCAAAGGATGCAGCTGATAATGACGATAATTTCGCTATTGTTTTTGCAGCTATGGGTGTATGTAATTAACGAAGAAAGTTCTTCAACTGATAAATCTTTTTTGAGTTAGGACAATGTACATAGTATAGATCAAAATGAACTATGAAATACTCTGAAAGAAGTTCATGTCTTTAGCTTATTGTTGCAGAGATATTGCACTTTTATGGGATTTTTTTAAAATGAATGCTATGGTAATAGAAAAAACTAATTTTCAAACTTCAACTTGTTGAGTCTATATAATGTTCATTGTCGCTATTTATCAGTTGGAGAACTTCTTTTCTATGGTAATATTTAATGTAATTAATTTTTTTTAAAGGTTAATATGGAAACTGCTCGTTTTTTTAAACAAGATTTTGAAGAGAATGGTTCAATGGAAAATGTTTGTTTATTTTTAAATTTAGCAAATGATCCAACGTAAGAATAGAAAAACAAAAAAACGTATTGTTTGTTTTCTTGTTTAAATATTTGATTTTCTAAATAGAATCGAACGTATTATTACACCACGTATTGCATTGACAACAGCAGAATTTCTTGCTTATCAATGTGATAAACACGTACTCGTTATTTTAACTGATATGAGTTCATATGCTGAAGCTTTGCGAGAAGTTTCAGCTGCTCGTGAAGAAGTACCAGGTCGTCGTGGTTTTCCTGGTTATATGTATACAGATTTAGCAACTATTTATGAACGTGCTGGACGTGTTGCTGGTCGACATGGATCAATAACACAAATTCCTATTTTATCTATGCCTAATGATGGTTATTATTATATTAAAATAATCTTAAATATTTTATCTCATTTTCTTCTCTAGACATAACACATCCAATTCCAGATTTAACAGGTTATATTACTGAAGGACAAATTTATGTTGATCGTCAATTACATAATCGACAAGTAAATTAATTTTTTTTTTAAATTCTAACAATTAGTAAATTGATTAGATCTATCCACCGATTAATGTCTTACCATCATTATCACGTCTTATGAAATCAGCTATTGGTGAAGGTATGACACGAAAAGATCATGCTGATGTTTCAAATCAATTGGTATATATATATATTATATTTCGCTTGAATAACTTGTTTTGTTTTCTATTCTTTTTTTTTTTGTTATCATTTAGTATGCTAATTATGCTATTGGAAAAGATATAGCTGCAATGAAAGCTGTTGTTGGTGAAGAAGCTTTATCATCAGATGATTTACTTTATTTAGAATTTTTAGGCAAATTTGAAAAGAATTTTCTTACTCAGGGTATTTCTTTTCTTTTGTTTATGAATAAAATAGTTTATTTATTTAAATATTCATTTTCTATTATTAATATAGGTGCCTATGAAAATCGTACTATAGCAGATTCATTAGATGTATGTTGGCAATTACTTCGAACATTTCCACGTGAAATGCTTAAACGTATTCCACATAATATTCTTCAAGAATTTTATCCACGTGATGGAGGAAAGCATTTACAACAAGCAGCAACAACAGCTGAATAAAACAATCGCCTAACTTTATATTCTTATATGCATTTATTATCTTTATGTTTATTTGCTTAAAACTAGTGCAATATGCAATCTATTAATGTAATCGCTATTTAAAAAAAAATACTGATGCTATGACAACATTCTATTCATATTCCACATTTTTATGTGATTTTATTTTAAATCTTTTTTTTTTGTTAGTGTATTTCTTAGATCTTTTTCTTTTATAGTTATATGCACCCTGTCTTCTTTTTCCCCTCTTCAATAATTATATATTGTTTGTGCATTTGAGATGATGACAAAAAAAAACAAGAATTTATTTTTAACTTAAATTATGCAACGATTATTGCGAAATTCTTCTTATTTTAGATTATTCATCTTTCAAGTTTATTATATAACTCACAGTCGAGCTTTAAGTTTCACTAATTCAAGCGAGTAAAGAGCAAAACCAACTTTCTACTTTTTTTTTATCGTATGACCGATCAGAATATAATTAATCTTCGTTCAGCCGACCCGTTCGCCGATGTGACCGGGTCGAGTGCATCAGATAGTGGCGCTGCCGGTGGTGCCGGTGGTCAACGTAGTTCTAATTTAATCCATATTCGTATTCAACAACGAAGTGGAAAGAAAACTTTAACTACAGTTCAGGTATTTTAGTCAAGATTTTGTCTTTGGGGATTTTATTTTCTTATATTAAATTATTTAGGGTATTGGGGAAGAATTCGATAAAAAACGTTTATTACGTGCGTTCAAAAAGAAATTTGCTTGTAATGGTACGGTTGTTGAACATCAAGAATATGGTGAAGTAATTCAACTTCAAGGCGATCAACGAACCAATGTAAGCCAATTTCTTAAAGAAATTGGCATATGTCAAGCTGAACAGCTCAAAGTCCACGGTTTCTAAAAATAATTATCGTTCATCTGACATAAATGTGTCATTTTCCGGAAAAAAAACAGAACTATATATTTGTGTTCCATTCGTTTTTCTCTTTCTTATGTTTATCTCTGATTTCTTTTTCTCAAAAATATATACGCATGCAAACTTAAAGCATTCTTTCAAGTTTGATATTATCTATTCTGTTAAACAACCGTGACGAAAAAATAAGAATAAATATTGTTACAATTTTGTAGTGTGTGCACATGACAGACTACAAATATCTTGAAATTCGAATATCTCAATCTGTATATGATACCGACAGCTTATATTTTAAATTAGTTAGTTTGATATTGACAGCATTCATTTGATCTAAATATGGTCAGTCGCTTTAACTTACAGTACACGATCTTCCATTGTTAGCTAATACAAAAAAAAAATTAACGAAAGACATCAAGTGTCGGATTCTTTTATCAAACGCAAAACTACGTTTATAAAAAAATAATACATAAACAAATCTTATATATAAACTATGCAAATCAAGAAATCACACGATAATTAATAGAGGTATGTAGAACATAAATTTCATATTATTACTCATGTTTTACACTTGTCCAAATTGCTTCAATAAATGTTTTTGAGTTAAAATATGTTTATAAAACTGTTTACAAAAATAATTAGCACTCATTCTTGTCTTATGTTCCGAAATGCAAAAATGTATCGATACCTTAAAGTGTTCATCAATGGCTATAAAACTTAGATACTATAAATGATTACGAGAGAAAAAAAGATGACAACAATACTGATCTGTTATAGTATTGTGTTATAATTGTAATGGATTTGACTAATAAAGCTGCGATCTAAAAAAGTTTAGAATTCGGAAAAAAAATCAGAAAAGTCATAATCTCAGAAAAATGTTCAAATTTCAAGAACTTTCTTGACTTTTCAAAAGATCTGGCAAATCGTGACTAGTGCCAGGCGTGACTAACAGTTATCACATGTATTTCTATTAATTGGTTAGATATTTCACCACACAAATTATGTCTTTTTTTTTGCATAAGTACATAATCATAATTTATGATTTGAACAAAATCCAATGCCAAAATAGAGTCAAACTTTTGACATATTATGATCCTTCTAAGTTCGGTTTAGTGTCTCAACCGGTCATATGTAATGACTGGGATCTCATCTCAAACGCGAGATATCATCTTGTGAGTTATCCATTATTACTTGATAAAATAATTTTTTTTACTTAATCTTTCGTCAATAATCCATACAGTTTATGTATAGGGATCCTAACAAACTGTAGTTAATTTTAGTGACCAAAAAAAACTTGGTTATACCAGGCACTAACACTTCGTCATTTGTGTCGTCTTTCCATAGCGCATTTGTTGTTTATCAGTTAGTACTTTCTGATTTATTCATGTTGTTCACTCTCCCATATCTGTAATAGTAGTAATGTTTAAGAACCATCATTATGACATAGACAGACCATGGTGGATTTTCAACAGTGTTAAGTTAATTCAACAGAAACTCAATTCTTGCGGATGATTCTTACAAATATTTGTATTGTCAGTGAAAATTCAACATAAATTTAAAATGAAGGAAGTTTTGTTCAGATTAAGAAAAATGAAACATATCTTTTTAATGAATTTTATTTGTTCAAAAGTTTCATATAGAGTTCTTTTGAACAGGCAAAAAGAATATACTTTCAGTTATTGCTAGCACTAATGAGAAAATATTCCTAAGTGTTGGTTTGGTTTTTTAACCGCAATTTAATACATCCTATAGACTTTAGTGAGCTATGTATAACATACAAAGAGTAAATTGTTACAATATATTGCTGAGGAGATAGAACATTTTTACTGAAACTTGACTGTAAGACCTTACATTTTAAATAAGACCATAGTTTCGAACTTCAACTTGGAACGTTGATCATATAAAGAGCTCATTTATACTAGCTTGTACAATAAAAATTTAGATATTTTTGGACTAAGCCTCTTCGAGATATAAAACTTTTAAGGTCTAGATCAAAATTCGAAAATATGATCTTGTTACAAATGTAGAGTCGTACAGCGAAAACTCACTAAAAACGTTCGTTTAGTTCAAAAACAACCTATAAAAACGAACTTTTTAATGCCAAACAGAGTTCCCTGAGGTACACGAGAAGCATTAGTGAAGTAAATTCTCCAGATGCTCCCCTGGTGATTTCAATTATTTTTTGCATATAGACACTACATCATATGCTAGTGAAAGTCCTAAAAGGACTCAAATTTCTATTGACATTTAATAGAGCTATTGAATTTTTAATTTTTCTATTTACTAGAAGCAACCGAAGAACATAATGTTGTCGGAATAATCATGTTTTGAATATCGGCTTGAAGCTATGAGCTTTTTATAAATAAATACTCTTCGAAGCGTATTGAATAATCTAAGAATATTTTTAACAATGCATAACTCGGAAATATGTAGTTTACAAATTCTGAAACTCTTGATAGTAGGTACTTTATATGATACCTTTAAATGAAGATAGCTCCAAGGAAAAACTAAAAGGCACGTTTTTTGAAACTTAAGTCATTTTAGGATTTTAACTAGAATATTATTGAATATCTATTTTCAAAGAATAATTGAAATCAGAAATAGACATCTGGAAATATTCTCTCGTAAGTCTTAATTGAAAATCAAACTGACATCCAAGAATATTTCCTCGTAAGAGGTACAGTTAAATGTTTATCAAACAAAAAAATTATATTTTAATTAATTATTTTCAGGTAATTTCCAAATAAGAACTTAAAGATAATATTTCTTTATCAATTGACTTCTTTCTTCTCTATCGATTTGCAAATATATTGAAAGTGTCAAATCTATTTTAATTCAAATATTTTTTTTCTTAGTATATAAAAAATAATTTCTTTAGTTGAATTTCTACACTACTTGTGACCTCTTTTATTCACCTGACATCATTCGTAGACACTGAGTCATTTACTAATCAACCAAACCATCTTAGTGTGTGTCAAATGTTGTTTTTTTTTCGATTTCAGAACAGGCATGAGCAACCACATAGCAACAGAATATAATGTTGACAATGTCTATAAAACTTTTAGCAATGTTATTGATAAGTCCGATATGAAATCACTTCATCTTCATCAATTTATTATAGCTTTTCAAGAATTGTCAAAGCAAGTATTAACAACATATAATTAATTCTAATATATTTTTGTTTTATTATGTAGATTTTTCAATCATCTAAATGTAGTTTTTTCATTTGTTGCTCATGACCTTGCTGATAAATATTATATTATTCAAAATCTCTGTAAAACTAATCCAATAGATTATCGTACTGTTCAAACAATGATTGAATATGAAAAATGCCGAGATGATAAAACGGGAACAATTGCACTATTACGTCTATTACGAGCTTTAGAATTTATTTATCTGTTCTTAGAACAAGCAGTTATGTCACCAAATTGTTCTTCAACAACAAAACAAGTTGCTTGGGATATATATAAACAAACTTTACATAAACGACATAATAAAGCTGTTCGATTAACTATTTGGTTTGCAACAGCTACAGTACCTAAACGTGAAGTATTAAAAGAAACTTTATTACATGGTGAAATTGAACCTAATACAGCTGATAAATGTTTTCCATTAATTGAAAATATTTATCGTAGTATTTATAAATTATATGAAGAAAATAATATACTTGAATTAGTTCCATTGTGATATATTATAAATAATTTTTTAATTTTTGTTTTTTTCTCTTTATTTGTCAGAACAAAAAAAAAGCAACTTTTTACATGCAGAATTATTTTATTTCCTTTTTTGTTTTTTTTTTCTTTTTATTGGAATTAATAAAATTATTAACTCTTTCGAAGACCTAATGCAGGTATTAATATGACAAGGATTATAACACCAACAGTAATAGCTACAGAAACAATAATTGTCACTTTCTGAAAGTGAAAATAGATACTTGTTCTTTGAAATAACAATACATTTAACTTACTCGTCGAGAAATACTGCGTGATGTTCGTTCAATAACTGGTATTGCATCTTGTGTAGTTGGACCATCGACGAAAGGTGTATCAGCAGACATCATCATATCTCGATCATTTCTAAGCTCCTAAAAAAATATTTTCGTGAAAATTATGCATTTTATTTTAAAGAGTAATCATGAAACCATCGAACATATGAGGCGCTCAGTAGAAAAATAGCCTTTTGAGGATTTGGTATATCATTGTAGGAAATCATCGATCCCGACATTTTAGAGTCTAATATCATTTCTTTTAAAAGTTAGCCGATACGTACATTTTATCAGTATTATATCCTTATTAGAAAAAAAAAACAGCAAAATCTACTCCGTAAAAGTTATTCTTATTTTCGTTTCAACGAATGATTCTAATTTTATTATTACCTATAATCAATGATAGAGGATAAATCTCTGAACAAAATGATCTATTTCAATATATAATAATGTTGACCGACTGAAGTTTTATCGATGAGTATAAAATATCTATTTGATAACAATCAATTTCCTATTAGAATTCAGAATAAAAAAAAAACTTCAAGCTGAATTTGATTTATTTTATGTAACTTTTTATTTTCTACAAAATGGTAAAAATGTATCCAAAAATAAATGGTACCTTGGGGGCGAAAAAGGTTTCACATTTCTAAATTACATAATGATTCTAATGATTTGTCAATAGAAAAGCAAACACTTTTAGCGTTTTTGATTGGCATGGCACAATTGTAAAGCAAAAGAAAAATGACATTCAAAATAAATGTCAAACTGCATTGAATAAAATATATTTTTAGAGAAATTTTTGTCTGATGAAAAAATCATCTGTGGTCATCATGACCGTATTTTATTGGAATTTTATCCCATAGTCTCACAAAGGTCAACTTTTCGCATGACAACAGGTTTTTCTACAATGTATTTGATTGAATATAGTTTTTTGACGTCGATTTCGTCATTCGTATTGATTTTACTTTATAATTGTCTGACGACTATGAAAAATGCCAAAACTATTTTTCTTTCTATTGAAAAATCATCAGAGTCATTATGTATGAGAAAGATGTGAAATCTGTTTCGTCCTAAAGGTATTATTTATTTTTGAATATTTTTTTTTCTCATGTTGTAGAGAATAAAAAGTTCTAATAGCATATGTAGAAATCCGATTTTTCATTCATGTTGGTCTTTTAAAAATTTGAGTCAGTTAACACTGTATTGTATTGAAATAGACCATTTTGTTTAGTTTTTTTTTTATTCTCTATATTTTAGTATAGTTTATAATAAAATTAGAACGATTCGTTGAAATAAAAAAACGAGCGCAACTTTTACAAAGTAGGCTTAGCTGTTTTTCTCTGATAAGAATATGATACTGTATAGTAAAAAAGTTGGTATTAACTAATTTTTGAAAGCAAAGGTATCCGACGCTAAAATCTTGATGTCGATGGTCTTCTACATCCATGCACTGAATGCACAAGAAAATTGTTTTTTTTTTTATCAAGTACCTCATCCACTTGATGATCTCATCATTATCTCTCTTAATTATCTTCAACAGAACTGTGACTAAGCACACGAGACAGAAAGGGGAGGGAGTGCAGAGTGCTTGAGTCCCAAAAAAAGAACCGCTAAGTGGGCAAGTGCCAAAATTAGAAGTGTGTGCTTCACATCCAACGCATCTTCCATAAATAACACTCCGGATCTTGAAGATTTCACTTCAGATTAGAAATCTTTTATCTTTCTTGTATGTTATGATATATTGCTTGACAACTCTGAAAAGAAATATCTGTCATTAGAGCAGGTGATAATAGAATATTCAGTTTGGTTTTCTTTTCTAACGTTTTTATTTTATTTATTCAATATAGAAAAATTAATTTTACATACATTAGCTGTCAAAGTATTGTTCGTACGTTCCAACATTTTCCGTTTATTCTGCGTCGTTCGGTCACGTAACTGTGTTCCATTTTCAGCCCGACAGGAAGCATCATCTTCTCTTCCGTTTTAGTTAGAAAGAGAAAAGAGTGCTTCATTCGTTCTTCAATTCTTCTCTCTTTTCATCATCATATATCAGAAAATATTGCTTGATCGGCAAACTGCCAATCATGTCTTGTTTTATTTCCTATTATCAACTTACGGAATTTCTTTTCTTTTTTTCTTTTTTTTTTACATAACAATCAATGATTGAATAGATCTGTAATAATGATTTTCTTCTCTTTTTAATTTTATGTAACAGTAATCGTGCTTTAACAAGATCTGATTACAGATGATGATCAAGATAATGTATTCTGGATTAGAGATATGATAGATGCGACAATTTATACCCACTGATAATATTAAAATGAAGGGAAAATGTTTTTTTTTTTCATGATTCGTCTATAATTACTGTTATTTTACAGTTAGATGATTCAAGTTTTTTTTTTCTTACGCGTCACCAAGGCTTCTGTATATGAGTATTGTGTGATTGAGATGTTTTGCAGAAATAGAAAGCAAAAATAGAGAAGAAAATAAGTGAATAAAAGAACATGTCATTTACTTCTTCGTTTCTTTTTCCTTTTTCAATGCAAATCATCAATGACATGACTACAGATGACGTACAATCTATTTTTACAGACTGATATCTTTAGTTATGTAAATGTATACTATCATATAAATTTTCTCTGATCTATTTTTTATATACTAATAAAATATTGACTTTCATTTAAAAGAAATGAATATTGTTTTTTTTTTTTCGTTGACAACAGAAAATAAACACGTAATAAAATTCAAAACATACATGCATTTATTATCAAATGTAATTGGACACCGATTTTCCTTTTTTCCCTATAGATTATTATTTTTTATTAATTTCAATGCCATCATTTTATTGTAAGTAACAACTACTGTCTTCTATTAATAAAAAGAATCTACTAGAGACAATTTATATATAGTGTTCATTATCATATCATTATTATTGTGTTTTTTTCAATCAATAAATTCAGAATCAGAAAATCTATTAATATCTACTACAACTTTAAAATTCAATTTATATGATAATGTAACAATAACAACTAGTACTATAGACAATAAGACTGATCAAACATCAATATCAACAAGTACATATTTCAATACAACAACAACTTTTATTATTAATACAAGAATAAATTCGTCGAATATAACTATAAACACAAATGAAATAAAAATAACAACAACTTTACCATCTTCTACAACGGAATCAACTACATCTGATGTTAGCAATAATCATTCTAAACAATGTAAGTAAATTTCAAAATTATTCATCATAATTTTAGAAAAAACGACATGAATAAGTCTTATTATTATTGAGAAATTTTCATCTTTTTCTTCGATAAATAAATATCATATTTGACTTAATTCTCTTTTTAATAAAATAGCATCGTCAAGATCAAAGTGGTGGTTATTAATTGCTCTTATAGTAATGACAGTGGTTCTTATTAGTATTGCTTTTATCTATTATCAACGACGACAAACACCATATACAAGGTATGTATAACACTTTTGATAAAAAGTTAGCAAGAAAATACATGGCTTATCAGATAAGGATGTTTGAAATAATATATTTCAGATGTACACAATGATAAAAATAGTGTTAATACAGGTAGAAATTTTAAAAAGAACTATATTTGTCTTGAATTTAAGTAGTATTCGTTGCATGCATTGTATTCTATATTTTTTTTTCTATTTTCATTATCTTTACTATGTATTTTTTTTCTCTTATTAGATTTTTGCGAAATTGGCAACCACGTGATGATGATGCAGATAATACTATTCTTCAACTCGAACAATCTGATATAATAAATAATCAATGGCCACATCAAATCTCTTTAGTTTAATAATTATTTATTTTTGTTTATTGCTATATTTCGATAAATAATTATTCTTGTTATAATATTCCCGATAAATCACGTTCTTTTTTTCTATTTATTAAGGTGCTCGAATAGTCCAACCACTTTCTTTTGCACGTTTTTCGCGTTCAGTTGTTTTTATTTCATTCCAAGTATTTAGACGGGGTTGTTCACGTTTTTTTGTATTACATTGAAATTGTAATGTATAAGCACGACGTGGTTCATTTGAATGATTAGGACCAGTATAATGTAAAGTACGACAATGATGAAAAGTTGCACCACCACTTGGAAGAGGACATGAAATAACATTTTTTATATATTCATTTGGATTATCAATTTCAAGACCATGTATACGTGGATTATTATTTTGAGTATGATGAGGAAGTACATCAAATAAAAGATGAGAACCAGCAATAAATTGCATACAACCATTTTCAAGTGACACTGGTTGAAGAGCAACCCAAACACCAAGTGATTCGTAGAATAATGTTGGATCCCAATAAGCTTCATCTTGGTGCCATGGTGTTGGAAGTGAATTAGACGTTGGTGGTTTTAAAATTGCATGATCCTAATCGAAAATAAAACAAAAGAATTATTGAATATTGAAGGAAATTTGTTTTTTTGTTTTTATTTATCATACTCCTTTAAATGTTGTTTCTTCACCAAGTAAAGTTTTACTTATTGCATATGCATTTGCATACATTTGAGTACTATATAAATCAAATCCGGTCATATTTTTACCATAGATTGATGGCCATAAAAGTTGTGGTGCAACTGCTTCTTTATCATCAGTATCTTCAGAAAGTAAATCAAAAAAATTTCCATGTTCTCGACCAAGTTTAGCAGCAAACCACTATTAGACATAAAACAAAAAAGATAATAAGAAAAATTTTATAATTCAATCAATGATAGAAATACTTGATCGTATTGATCACGAATATAAGACACTTCATTATCATCAATGAAACGATCAATACTTAAAAAGCCATTTGTTTTAAAAAAATCGATTTGTTCTTGAGTTAATTTAATTGTTGGCTCTTTAGTCGGTTTATTTGTTTCGGGTAAAGTAAAATGAGCATGAGCTTGATGGGGATTTGTAATTGTCTCCATGTAGACTTATTCAAATAGTAAAAATATCATGAGAGAAACAAATATTTACGTATATATCTATTTTGTTTTAAGTTACACCTGTATTAGAGTCATAAAAAATGTGTCTAGGTTAAAAGCAATTCTTTATCTTCAACGTCAATAATAAAAAAACACTGAAGGATTTTATTTATTCAAAGAAAAAACATCGCATCTGCTACTTATTGCTTCATTAAACAAATGCAATATTTATCAATGGTACTAGAAAAATCATATGTGTGTATAAGAGAATAATCATGACATTTCCATCAAAAACCTTGAGTAAGAAAAACGATATAGTAGCGACATACTTTGGCGACTTTTATATTCTAGCATGTTATTTGATGTTCTCTTCACATACTCATTCAAAGAGGTAAACTACAGAAAGAGAAAAAAAAATGATCGGTTTTTGTTTTCTTTATCCAAAGTAAAAAGAGAACAAATCGATAGGAATTAGTTTTCTATCGATTAATCGAGGACAATGAATCTCTTATCAACACTACTCAATACAACAACTAGTCCTCCGTCTCCTGATACAAATATTTCACTTTGGATAGGTTATATATCTGTAATAATTGCCGTACTTTTTTTTGGTTCTAATCTTGTTCCAGCTGGAAAATATCCTATAGGTGATGGTTTATCATTTCAATTTTTTATGTGTTGTGGTATTTGGATTGTTGGTCTTATTATTGATTTATTTGTAAAAAGTCCTCAATTTTTTCCATTAGTATTAATTGGTGGAATCTTATGGACAACAGGAAATATTCTAAGTATTTTTGTTATTCGTATTAATGGCTTAGGGATGTCAATGTTACTTTGGTGTACAACAAATATGCTTGTTGGTAAGTGTTGAATATGATATAGATTTTATTTTTCATTTAATTAGGTTGGGCAAGTGGACATTTTGGTTGGTTTGGTTTAATACCAGAAAATGTTGAACAACCAATTCTTAATTATATTGGTGTTACAATTGCATGTTTAAGTGGTATTGCATTTTTAGCAATACGAACGATAAAACAAGAAGAAACTGTACAAAATTTAGAAGAAGAACAACAACCTATTCTTCAATCATCATCAATTGTAACAATATGCAATGATGCAACACCAATTGATACAACAACTATTGCTGTTTCATCATCAACAAATCTATATAGATGTATTATTGGTTGCATATTGGCTATTATTGCTGGTATATTATTTGGTTTTATTTTTATTCCAAGTACATATATTCAAGATCATCCTAATATATATTCAGCAGCATCAAAAAATGGTCTTCATTATGTATTTGCAATGTATTCTGGAATATTTTTTTCATCTATGTTTTACTATCTAGTTTATATTGCTTATAAAGGTAATCGACCATATATTCATATTCAAAGTATATTTCCAGCTATCATATCTGGTATTATGTGGGGTATTGCACAAGCTGGATTTCTTGTTGCAAATAGTGTTTTAAGTCAAGCAATATCATTTCCATTAATTACAATTGGACCTGGTACAATTGCAGTATTTTGGTCAATATTTTATTTTAAAGAAATTTCTGGTCGAAGAAATTATTTGATTATTATTGTTGGTACTTTCTTTCGAATTATTTCTGCTATACTGATTATATTATCAAAACCAATACCACGTTAAATTTCTGAAAAACATTCATATTTGTTTTTTGTATATTTTTATTTTATGTTGTTTGTTTTGTGTATATAACGAATAGAAAAAAAACAACAACAATAATTATAATTGCCATACAAAAAATGGCAAAAAAAAGGCAAAAGAAAAAACATTTCTTTTTTTTTTAATATCAGTTGCCACGTCCTCGACCACCACGAAAGCCACCACCACCACCACCTCGGCCACCGCCTCGACCTCGAAATCCACCACCACCTCCACCGCCGCTACCACCACGGCCTCCTCGAGCACCGCCGCCGCCGCCTCGGCCACCACGTTGAAAACCACCTAAATACAAAAAAGAAATTGAATATTATACACCAGAAACAAGAGTAGTTATTCTAAATCGTAGTTTTCAGTGAGAAAAATATTTGATTTTATCAGATTCTAGATAAGGTATTAAATGCGATATTTTTCCTTTTATTCCAAATCAAAATTCTTTTTTTTTCTATTTAAACTGTCTGTCCGATTTCATATTGTCTTTTTTTTGTTTATTACAGCTCAGAAAAGTAATGTCATACCTCTACCACCACCACCACCTCGTCCTCCTCGTCCACCACCACCTGTTGGTTTTGATCCTGGTGGTCGTGGTAAAAATCGAGCCAATGGCAATAATTTATTCGGATCGACGAAAAGCTACAAAATAAAAATGAAAGAAATTTCCCAAAAATTTTTATTCTATTTAATTACTTTTTCATTTTTTTTGAATGAACTTGGATTCATATTTTCCAAAAGTGATACGGAAAACCACTAAAAAAAAGAAGAAAAAAGTTAGTTAAAGATTAGATCATGTCAAATTTTTATTTCGTACATATTGTTTCATTGGACCAAGTATTTCATCTACTTTACCAATTTGTTGTTTATTCTGAAGAAAAATGCTAGCATTAAAATATGGAACCATTTCATTTGTTGCCTTGCATACAAGTTGACTTTCACATGCATGTGAATAGGATCCAATTTCTATTGATCAAAAGAATTTTTAATAAGGAAAGAAAACAAAAGAATATATGTATATGTATATCTTACCAACGACACTATCAGGTGGACCTTCAGGTTCCCGATTGAATCTACCACCTCCTCCACCTCGGCCACCGCCGCCTCGACCTCGGAAACCTCCACCACCACCACCTCCACGACCTCGGCCACCACCTCCTCCTCTAGAATCTCCACGTCCTAAACAAAATTAAAATAAGAAAATTCATGAAAAACCTTTCGAAAATCAATTTTATACCTCCTCGGAATGGACCCATTTATGGAATATAAATCAGAACAAAAAAAAACAAACACAACTGTTGAGAATCTAGAGTTGATATCAAAGAAGAATTATTGTCGAAATTCAAATATCTTCCACAAAGTATGGATATAAATGTTGATTGGTAATCCTTTGAATGAGAAACAACCAATTTGAAAATAGTATCTCGTAATAGAGGGAAGGCCATATTTGAAATAGAGGTCACTATTAGCAATTAAAATTAGAACTAAAAGTATATAGTTCGTCTATTATGTGTCTCATTCATTATTCGACTTTCAAGTTTTATTTTTGTATATTTTATCTCAAATAGGTATTTTGTCCCATGACGTGAAGATGCTGATTCATGAATAATTTTTGAAAAAAAAGAACACAACTGACTTTTCCTTTCAATGCTCTATAAAAAAATGTGCAAGAAAGAGAATTATTGCAACATTCTTTACAGCTTTCTTACTTTTCATTCTTTCTCTTGACAAATAGTTAATATTAGGTGGGCAAAAATTACCTTGTTGTGTAGGTGTTTAAGTCACCTTGAATAGTACTTTTTTTTCTTTTCCACTTATCAACTACCATACGATTAATCATTATGATGTCTATTAACTTCCTCCACATATTTATTCTTGATATTTTATCATGACCCAAAAACATTTTTAAATAAGTATTTTTATCAATACCTAATCATTTTTGACATACATTTTATTGTACTAAATTGAAAATGATGGAACATGAAAATTCAAACAAATCATCTGATGATTATCAAGAGACCACATGCTCTATACAATGTGATATATTACTTCAACAAAATCAGTCTATTCTTAATGAATATCTTGAATTTTGTTCGATGCGATTAGTTTTACCAATACTCAACTTTCATACAAAACAATTACATTTATTTGGTTATAGCAAATCAAATATAGAAGCCGGTAAGATATTAATTTTATTATGATACTATCTTCCTAGAACAAAAAGAAGTAGTTAGACTTGACATTTTTAATATAAAATTCCTATAAATTAATATTCTTACAAAAGTAATTATATATTCTGAAAGTACATGAAATTCTCTATATCATCCTATACTTTTGCCAATCCTGATTTTTAATTATTTGATGACAAATATTTAAAATATTATTACGGTATCCATATTTTGACACCTTCTTCTCGACTACTTCATATAACTCATACAGCAGCCAATGAATGGTTACCTAGTGATAAACTAACATCTATGAATAATTACTCATCTTTCAGCCTTGATCTTAACGTGTTAGTCAGAGTTCCTTGCCATGAATGACCTATTATGCACAGAGATATCATCGAAATTCTAAACAATATATGCCCTAAGAATGTAAGATGTGAGTATATTAACAATATTTGTCATCAAATAATTGAAAATCATACTGACAAAAGTATAAAATGCTTTGAGAATTTTATACGTTTTCAGAATATATACTTGCTTTTGTAATAATTTGTTTTCTATGTTGAGCTAAATTGCAAAAAGAAACAAAAAAATGCATTTTCCGGAAATGCAACAATGAAGGTACCTTCATTGTGCTTGAATTTTCAAGTGCAATTCAAAACATACACATATAAGGTTTTAGAGAATTTTACACGTTATGAAAATATATAATTACTTTTGTAAAAATATCAAGTCTAATTATTTTTTTTCTCGGGGGAAATAAGATAATGATAAGAAATGAACTAATTAGGTTTTTTTTAAAATTTTTCATCGAACAGAAAAACGATTCTTCGAACTACAAACAGAATTACTTGTCGAAAATACTAAAAAACAAAATGTTGAAAGTAATATTCATTGGTGGTACGAAGCATGGGATGCTACATGGAAATTATACAATTCTAAAATGACAAATGAAATTGAATATTATTACAAATCAAATATATTTAATGTAAACATTCGATTTATAGATAAATATAAAAAAATAACTTGACTTTTCTTTTTAGTTTAAATTAATCAACGACTTAGGTGAAACTGTATCAATTGATATTAATAAAATGGAAGAAATATATAGTGGACGTATAAAACGTATTCGTCGATTGAAGATTGATGAACAACAACCAAGTTATTGGACTCTTACTCCATTAAATTTGTAAGTTTTGTATATTTTTCTATGTTCTTAAATTTTCATTGCTCTCTATTATTTTAGAGAACGATTTATACTTGATGACAAATCAGATGAATATCTTTCAATTAAAGATAACTTTGATCAAACAATGAAAGGATATTATGTAAATATAAAAACTTTAAATCTTTTTTTCTATTGTTTAATATAACTTATATTTCCTCTAGACTATAATAATATATATTGAACGTATTCAAAATTCACGTTTATTCAAACAATTTTGTGTATTACATGAAGATTTCATAGCCAGATACGGCAAAGAAGAAAACGGAACTATGCGTTTTCTATATCATGGTTGTCCTGAACCAGCTTCAAAAAAAATTATTGAAAAAGGTTTCAATCGAAGTTATTGTGGAATCAATGGTAAGATTTATTTATTGTTCGTATATCGTCTGGTCGAAAAGAAATGAGTATTTTTTCATGCGAATTCATATAGACATAATCTCAATAATTTTTTTTCTGCTTTCATACGAAAAGATTCGTCATAAAATTCTTTCCGAAAACCTTATTAAATGTTTTTATAACAAAAAATAAAATATTAAGAAATTTCACAGCTGTCAACTGTCTAATCAAAAGTACGAATTTTTGATATTTTTATTTTTCTATGATAGAAAAAAATCTAACTATATCACAACTAGCTGAAAAAGAATTCTTTTCCTTTTATGCATTATTGAATCGCAGCTTTGTAATATTATAGAAAATTCTTAAATCTCTCTCAAATCAGAGTATTTTGGATTGAAAAAAATTTGCTTTGTTTTACAAAGTAATGGAACGTCTGTTATATTCAAACGGCTATTACCAATCAGAAGATGTTCAATAGGCTGAATAAAATTATTCTTTCTATTGTAACACTAGATTCCGACGCATTCTATGATATGCTACGAGAAACAGCAAACTTGACAGCATCAGAGAACTTCTCTCCATGTATTCTGTCAGTTTTGTAAGCATTTAAAAACAGTTTCAGTAAGTTAGAAAACGATTTAACACAGTTTTTGTAGAGAATTTCGTTCGATTTACATGTTCTAGAGTTATGATTGAAACAATATTTTCTTCTTGTGATTACCTTATCTTCGGAAGTCCTATAATATAACTAACTCTAGTCCCAACTTTGCTAGAAGTCATTTTAAAATAATTGAGATATGATCTTCTCATGAAAAATATTTGTTGAAGAGCAAATATGGTTTTTTGGTAAGATGAATCTTTTCTATGATGACTTTGACCAATTTATAAGAAAATTTCAGTAAAAATTTGCCATGAGATGGCAAGTCTGTTCTGAAACTTGTAGATTTGCAGATATGAATCAAGTTGAGTAAGCATTACAACATGAGTTCTCTATTTCAGTGCGTGCGAATTACTCAGATCTTAACGATGTATCACAATTTATGGTGATAATAAAGTAAACATATACGACTGTCTTTAGCGCTAGAAAAAAGTAGTAGTAGCTCGTGAAGTAACAAAATGATGAACAAAAACTTTTTAAACGCATTTTTTTCGCTAAATATGCTTTTGATAAGAGAAAAAGCATGTGTGAATCATAACTTCATTGTCTTTGAACCAATGAAGGGTGAATCAATGCTTTTAATCAAGGTTTATTGTCGTACACATGTACCCAAAATATTCGTTCACTGTCATAAAGAATAGTAATACTTCCTGGATCGACGTCTACTTTTGTTCAGGACTGTATATATATATATATATATGTCGAAGAAGAAATTAAAATTTTAATTTTAACTGAATTTCTTCCAAAAAAAACTTGCAATTTAAATTTCTTCTACAATAGTTTAAAAATTCAGTTTTTTCTAAAGGACAATTTTAAATATTCCGAAATACATAGTATAAACTTTATTATTTTTATATGTCAAAAATACGAAGTTTAAACTAGGTATTGGAATATGGTTTCATTTTTGAAGAATAACATTTGGTACCATACTGTATTGCTGTTTGACAACGACATTTCTTTATTGAACAAATGGCATTACAGTTACATGCTTCTATAGAAGTTATTAATCCTGCACTTGCATACGTTTTGCAAGCTTGAACGATCGTCATTATTGGTAATGTTGTTGAATCGACATCACGTAAGTTACAATTGGATAATTTCAATAGATTGAGTGCTTGAAACCATGAGAAGATTATATATGTTGCTGTACATAATTGATAGTTATCTATATCATTTGGATTTAATCGAGCCGATATTGTCTTACATGGCATTACTTTAGGTGTAACATGTTTTTTTGTGTCTACTTTGCCATTTTTTATTTCATTTTGATCTTCTATTGATTTTACCGAACGTAAAAGATATTTTAAGCTTTCTCTGAAAAAAAAATCCAGTTAAAATTGAAATTTCAAGCTATTGTAAGAGAAATTTTAATTTTAATTTCTTCTTTGACATATATACGGTATTGAACAACATTCTACGAGTAAAGTTTTTTTTTTGTTGATTTTTTTCTACATTGTCACGCATCTATCTTAGATCTAAATAATGATTTCAATAACGAATGACGTTCTCTATCAAATGCACACTATATCATATTTTTATTGATGGACTAAGAGAGAAAAAGTCTTACAAAAAACGATCTTTTTTTTATTTCCAAGAAGCTTTTATAATCATCAGTTACTAAAGATTGACTATTACAAATTTTTCTTGAGTCTGAAAAATATCATTTTTCGTTTCCTAGGACTTGTTCTCTCTTTATCCGTCTATGAAAATATGGTATAGAATATATCTGGTTAGAGAACCTCATTCGGTATTCAAGTCACTATATAAATTGTAGATGAATGCGTGATATACTAGAAAAAAAATCAAAAATACTTGGCTCTTATAATTTTGTCTAGCTCTGTATATTGACAACTTAAATTTATTTATTTTCTAAGGTTGTTTGTATGGACGAGGAGTATATTTCTCAAGTAATGCTAGCTATTCAAATAGATATGCACATTCAAATGAAACAGAAGAAAAACGAATATTTTACAGTCGTGTTCTCATTGGCCGAAGTATGAGTAAGTGATGAATTTTCCATTTATTAGAAACTCTTATTGAAAAATATCTTCATTGTTTTTTTTTTCAGTTGGTCATTCGAATATATGTGAACCGGAAGGTAATTTGATATCTAAAAAAAAGGATTTATTATTAAATCATTTTTTGTTCTAGATGGATATGATACAACAACGGATGGTACTCATATCTTTGTATGCTATTATGATAGTCAAGTATGTAGAAAGCAATCGAGTTAAATTGATAATTTATTTTTATCTTTTTTCTTCTGTAGTGTTATCCAGAATATTTGATAACCTATAGGTGATATCAATTCAAAATTTATTTTCATATGTTTAATCTTAATCTTGAAAAGCGTCATAAATTAATGTTAAAAACAAACAAGTTTTGTATCAATTATTAAAACGAATATGCAAGAAAGTCTAACAGACAATAATCACATAGTGTATTTTATTTTAAACTCATGATAATATTAGAAATTTTTTCTAATATTGCATTTACGTCTATATATTGTACAGGTTGTTTTTTTGTTTCTATTGTTTAAATTAATCATGATACTTTGCATTATAAATGGTTTTATATATTTTTCTTTATTGTATGTAATACTATACAGCTTCATTTCCTTTTTTTTTCTATTAACAATGTAACTATTTATCTATATGAATCATATATATGTTCTAACGTATCTTATCAGTGATTATTAGAAGAATAGAAAGAAAGTACAGCATCTTTTTTTTGAAATGTTGTTTTTGAAAAATGAAGATACTAAATTTTCGACATAAAAATTATTGTATAATAAAAGGATAAAGTACAATGCTCGTCAAAAGTTTTAGTTCAGTATTATTTCATTATTTAAAAGATAAATTAGAAGAATAATCCATATTGAACAATATATAGATGATATATTAAGACAACCGTACAAAAAAGAAATTTAGTTTATGATTTTGAAATTTTATTAAAGAAATCTCTTTAAAAAAAAAGGTAAATCTATGGGAAAATATCAATCAAAATTATTGGAGTTCTTCGTATACATACTTTTATTAAAATAGACATTAGTCGTAAGTATGATAAAATAAAAATATTTCCCTTCTGATGCTGTTATCTGGTCGTTAAGAAATTCTAGCATCAGATTTAATCTCACAAATCAATTGAATTCGATGTTTTTGTCTGATAGAATTATTCATATGCTAGTTCCTAGAATATCATGTAAAAGATGATTTATTTTCTATATAGACAACGTAAGTCTATGTCGATTCTCAGTATCAGCCTTGCTCAACTTATTTCACTCTATTCAAAACTGAGAGCAGAATTCATACAGTAGAAAATCAAGGTTTCAGAGGTGACTGAACAACATTTGTCTAAAATTTACATTTTTATAACTAATTTCAGAGGTTCGCATATTGTGTTTGATAATATCTAACAATAGTTTCTGACAGTGCATTCAGAACTGGTCACAACTACTATGCATATTGCATAAAATTCGCCCACATCTTTGAATAGAGAAAAATAAACTGAGTAAGGTTGATACAGAGAATCCGACATGGACTTACAATGTCTATGCAGACTAGAGGTATCTTTTATGTGATGTTTCAGATATTGGTACATGCCTAGACAGAATTATGCGTAAACACATACTCGTTTTCTCAAGGCGCGTACATATATAATCATGAGAAAAAGAAGAACTATTTCATTTATTGATTATTGATTTTTTGCAGCAAATCCTGCTTGGGGATATGCGTGATCAATATTAGTTCTGAAACTATTAGAAAAAAGTTGTCCCAACTGAAACAAACGATTATAGTTAAATATTCAATAGTTTTAAGTGCATTTCCTTATATATCATATCAATCAGAATATAATTCAAAAGTGATGACCCGAAAAAAGTGCTAATCGTCGACTAAGTCGACCAAAACCCGAGTATTGAAGACTTTATCTAGATGCGTCTTTATACTAAAGATGGTGATGATAAATTTATTTTGAAATGCATGTAGTTTTTAAAACCAAAACATTAGTAGACAAAAACTTGAGAAGATTTCCAACGTCAGAAGAAAAATAAACATATGCTCGAAAGACAAATCGTAATAGATATTTCTATCAACATCTGAAAATAGATAATATTAACGATAAATTTCATTTGATTTTATTGTTAAAAAAACAGCAACAATCATACAAAGCACGAATCGAAAGAAATAAATGCGATATAGGAAGCAGAAAAAAAAAGACACGGATCGCACATAAAAATTCTATATAAAAAGTAATTAAATGAATTTATCATTTGAATTTTCTATTTATGAATTTCGTACTTTGCCAGGAACATATTTATCATGATCAATAGTTGTTTCTTGTAGAAAAACATGTAATGACCGTTCATTTTGTGCTAAAGGATGACCGGCAACTCTAAATTGAAATAAAATAATTTTTTTTTTCTGTTTTATTTAAAAAAATAATATTAAATTTACTTATTAATAAATTGTTCAAGTCCTTTACGTCGTTCTTCAATAAAATCATCTTCAAAAATACCATCATCACGACGAAGAAATGCAGGTACTTGCCGTTTCCATGCTTTGCTCGGTAGTGATGGAACAACAATCTATTACAAATAAAATTTCAAAAACAATTCTTTAAAATTAAACTTACTTTACTATCTCGTTCAAGTTCTGTACGTAACCATTCAAAATCTGAATAACGACGACGTACAGAACATTCTTTTAAACGGAATACTGGTAAATTTGTCTATAATTAAAACCAATATATAGATATTAGAAATATGAAAAGAATTTCTTTTACTTTCATTCGAATTTCATAATCCGTATATCGTTTATTACCAAAACCATGTGTTTCAGGATTAAGAATTTCAATTTCAAGAAAATTAGCTGGAGGATCATAACGATCTTCAAGTGAAATCTAAACAGATAAAAAGAAACAGAAGAAGAAGTATTTAAAAAAAACGAAATTTGTTGTTTATTTATCATTACTGGTCTAGTTGGTAATCGAGCAATTTCTCGTCGATTATCAGTATCGATTGTAGCCATTGATTAAATCAATCGATCTTAAAAATGAGTAATAACTACAATAATACAATAAATAAAAACAGTCATAGGTCTGAAATGTTCTCCACTCATTTCTTTTTTTGTTAGTAGCATAACTATTTAAGGTAGACTTAAAGTGACCTCTGATGTTAAAATATTTCATTGGCTTCAATCTTTAACTGTATTAGAGTTTCCAATAAATTTTGTCATGCAAAATATGTTCCTGTGCAAAAAAAACAAAATAGAAAAATAACGTGTAGATAATGACAACAAATGTACACATATGAATCTGACTAGATTTAAGAAATACATTTCTGAATTATTTATTACTATCATGTGTATATTAGAAACAAAAAAACAAGAATAAAATGAACGTGCTTATTAATAAAATCATCAAAAGACCATGGAGTTGATTCGATTGAAATTTTTAATTAAATATATTCAACAGAACTAATGAGGCAAGTATCTGTAAGAAACAAGAGCAAGATAAATTTTATAAAACTAAAAGAACAACTAATTCATAAATCTATCTCACATTAGAAAATATATACACAGAGGAAAACAAGCAACTTCTCAATAATATCACAAAAAAATAGGCTAAGTATTTTTTCTTTTTTGCACAGTACTATCACGGTAATTTTTCAAAATCGTAAATACTTTGAATACTTTATTTTTGCTGGAGATACTCTATACTGATTAATCATTTCCATAGATACAGAACTTAATGAGAATAAATAGTTNATTTGAATTGTAGAAGACTTCGAAATTATTGATGGCTATGACAAAGTTTGTTGTATGCATGAACATTGATTGGCAATGGTTTAAGACACAATCGGTACGTCAGTGTCTTCTACTTGGGAGAAGGCGGTATTGTGAAAATGTCAGTTAAGAAAATTAAAATATTCTTTCGAGATTTATGTACACCTCGATAAGCAATGAGTAAAGAAATAACGATTCTAATTGCTGTCCCGATCCCGTACGATCGAGACCATGAGTGAAGTGCGGATGCGGCTGTTAGTGAAGAGAAGAGGCACCCCCAAATCATGCCCACGCCTAGACAAGAAGTTTTAGTGACACTTACAGAAAAATTACAGCTTGACGTTAGGCACCAAATAAAATGAGTAGAACTCATATTTTGACTATATACAGTGCTCTAGGCAGTACCGCGGATTATGTGCTAAATCGAATAATCATTCGAATGAAAATCAAAACTCAAGTAGTCTAATTTGTAAAGCTTAAAAATATTCACAAATCATCATATTCGAATTTTCAGAAAAATGTTTAAACTAGAGCCTAGAAAACCAGTGATTCGAAGTACTGAATGCAAGTTTTGGTCGTAAAGCTGAAACCTTAGATGCGTCTCGATTATCATATTTAATAACCTCTAAGCCACTGACAAGCAATTAATTCACTTCACATTTTAATGGCAAATACAAATCTTGAATTACTATCTGATTTTGACGATGTTCATCTTGAAAATCCTTTTCAAAATTACTGTAGAGGCTCCTTCGAAATTGTGTCTCTCAAGAAAATTAGCAGATGGGTTATCATTTTGGCCGATTTTGAAGGCGAAACTGGTATTTTTTACAGCGGGAGTCAATGCACAATTTCTGAAACGTTTCGATCTTGTTATTTAATTCATGTGGAAAGTCGAACCTATTGCGTTGAGATCATGCTACAAGGCTCACCTGAAAGAAATCTTGTACCAATATGACGTCGAAGTCCTATATTTCTTCCAAAGGAAAATGTGATATGTCAGCAATCAATTTGCATCTCATCAAGCAAAGCAAGATATATCTGCTTCTATTGTGCAAACTGAAACAAGTTTTGGATGTAAACAAAATTCGGGGTACTATTTATGTCAATGAAATCCCACATGTGTGTTCCATTACAAAAGAGAATACCCTTACGAGCTATTTTTCTCACTGCGATAAAGTTGAAAAAGCATATAGAAACATTGTAAAATATGTAGCCTTCGTCTTGTGTTACATTCGTGCTATATCAGTAGGGCGTCAGATTTAAGAGCTTATCCGATGGTGTCGTTTATAGTATAAATATTACACCATGTTACTGAACTTACGTTCTTGATTAGACTGAAGTGTTTGACTATTATATCGATAAACTTTTTTTCATAAAAATGAAGTGAAATATTTTATGTATTTTTTAAATGAAAGGTGAAAGCTAATTATTTTTAAAAGCATTACGTGGGCAAGAAAGCATATCATTACTTAAAAGCATGAAAAATCATTTATTCTGTGTTGGCTGTAATTTCTCAACTTCCTCTCTGTATGCAAAAACAGATGGTATACGAACACTAGACTGGAATGAATAAACAGGAAATGGGAAGCAAAAATAACGAGAAGCAGAGAGGATAATAAACGATGAGTCTCACTAAAGCAAGGCACTTGCTTTTAACGTAGTTTGCTTTATTGTAGGATCGGTCGCAGCTGTTTTCTTTAGTTTTTTTAGGGAGATTGGATTTGAAGAAACATCAATACTGGTGTACGATGGTATTCTCTTCGATTTGTTTGGAATTCTGTTATGCTAATTAATGTAATCAGAAATAGTTTGTGGTCAGCGGTTCGAAAACTTCATAACTGATCCTCAAAGAATGTATGGGTCAGCGTAGGAATCTGACTTTATGAAACATTACGTATGCACTTTGAAACGGCCTTTTTTGTATGACAAATCACCGAAAAGAATACAACTCATGAATAATAGATAAAATACCTCATATTTTTTCATTTGAAACGGATAAGACAGAAAAAATGTTATCATCAATACTTTTGCACTATATCCACCGTTTCCTATGACGAAGACCTAATTTTTTTCTCGAAAGATTCGCCGTCATATTCTCAATATGATGTGTATAAAACAATTTTCTGGGAAAAGTTACAAGAAACTTCATCTTAGGATCCTCTAGATACATGGGAGCTGATCAGATGTGTTACAGTGGTTTATACCCTTTCGTGTGCTTGCTTTTTTGCCTTTATTCAATATTAAATCCCTTGTCTCTTCTTTTTCCCCATACTACTACTCTCCACATAAAGAGAGAGAGAGAGAGAAGGAAAGAAAGATGATATAAAATGGATGACTATATGTTCGGACGAGATGCATAGTGTACACGGTCTTATAGCGCCTCTCCCTAACAAATGTATACTTCAGCGCGCAATGACATGAAATATATGCTGTGTGCAGAAAATGAACATGATTAGAAATAAGGAATACATTAATAGTTTTGATTACAAAAAAATAACTAATAAAATAGTTACAACAATGAAATAAATTTTAGAGAATGTAGACGTTTCCACTCCTTTTTGTATCTGAGAAAATGAAAGCAACATTTATATCGTTACGTATTCGTCTAATTGTAATTAACTATAGTATAACAAAATAGTATATGTAGAAGAAAAAACAGAAGTACAAATAAGACTTGTTAAAGCGAGAAGACAAAAATAAAATAAACCTTCTACGACACTGCAATGAACATTGAACAGTTATTTGTCCATCACATTCTATTGTTTGTCTGTTACTGTTTTTGTCTCTTTCTCAGCCTGTTATGTTTGATAATGTTATTGTGATATTGTCATCAGCGATGATGCTGAGCAGCGGGCCTATATTCATAGAGAAAGATCATCATTTTACTCTAAGGTTGGTTATACCATAGTGTTATGATTGTATTTTTGCTCGTGTGCATAATGTGCACAAGCACTTCCTGTAATAATGCATCAACGTCACGGTTTTAATATCATAGTTTGTCGAATTTTACATTCGAGGTTAATTCTTCATGCATATCGATAATTTGATTGCTGTCTTTAGTTACAGACATATTTTTAATGATGTTGATGATAGATCTTGCGTTTGATGTTGCTGAACATGGGGGGTTGGATTCAGGATCTTAAATAGTAGTTTCGATAGACACTGCAACTAAAGCAAATGGTGAAGTAATTACTTGTAAATTTTCGCCTCAAATGGCCGCTCTATCTACCTTCTCGTCTCGTGTTGGTGTTCAACGATAGTGAATATGTGTATTATCAGTTGAGATCAACCAGTGATCACTTTTTAGTTGTCGAATGTATGCTAGACTAATATTTGTTTTTGTTGCATCAATCACTCTGTTCAAGCAGACAATAGTGTCTAAAAACACGTTTAAAACTCTTAATTGTAGTTTAAGTTTGAACATTTTCATGTCCATTCGAAAATCACCAAAAGCAGCTACTTTCATTATAAAAAATGCATGAAGCCCCTTAGAAAGACAACTTTTGCATTTGGAAACGTCCAAAATGTTTTCTCACAATATTCTTGACATATGTCAAAAAAGTCATTGTTATCTGGAAAATATATCAAATTATAATGGAAAAAATTTGAATGTATTCTAGATGTAGAAGTTGCCTTTTTTTAATCGGCTGCATACACCATTTACGACAAAAGCAGCTTTTTTTTATGTTTTCTGAATGAATATGACAACACTAACATGGAAACCGTGATTAGAGCATTTAAACAAGTTTTTAGAAATTCTTGCCTAGCTGACTAGTAAGTACCCTCAAATTCATATGGTAGATGTATGAATGATTTCGAAAAGAGACAATCTGTTTGGTCATATGAAAATGCGTAATTTATTTAAATATTTTTCTGCCAGTAGTAATTTTCACATTTTCTGCTGACTCCTACAGAATGTGCTTACAATCTGTCGAATGTATTGTTACTTTTGAGAGCAAGAATAAGAAATAAAGAAATTCATTAGCAACAAAAGAACGACAACACAGGACCGTAACACATAGCTATCATCGACAACTTATCTGATGATAAAAAGGTGAAATCAACTCAGACCAAAGTATATTTGTTAGTTCGTATCCAACGAGCTTCTTTTAGTTCATTTAACCTAATACAAAAATGTCCTTAAATCATTATGCATATATATATAAGCATCACTATAAGAGAGAAAGAAGAAATAATAATAACAATAAAGATGATAAAAGAACAAAGAGAAAGAGAAATCAAGG